AAATTTTTATTCATAAAAATGCAGTTTCAACTGCTTTTTATTTTATAAAATCCGTCTTCTTGCGCCACCAGAGGACCTTTTAAACAATAGGTAGTCTGTTAGTGTTAGTCAGTAGAGGTTCAAATTCAATACGAACGTTTGTTTCTTGAAAATTTGATCACGGTTTAAATACAGTATTTACTTTTAATATTACCGATATGTCATCGAAAAGAAAACGTGTTGTATTATCTTTAAAAGACAAATTAAAGTATTTGTTTCGATTATCCGGATTTTTCCTTATCCGGACTACCTTCATCCCTCATTAGTCCGGATAATCGAGGTTCTACTGTATACTTTTTTTTACAGATATTTCTGTTTTTGAAAAAGTCTCTAAATACAGTATACATGATTATATTATCAGTTATTGTGGAACAGTTACTTTTCCAAGTTACAAACAAAAGTTTTCTAATCTCTCAGTTATTTATTTAAGTATGATTTAAAAATTTCAGCATATTTTGAACTTTACACAATCAAAAATATTTGCATTTCAAATAATCTAATCTTAACAACACTGGATGTTACGTGAAATAAATTAGCATACTGAAATAATACATATAAAAAGAAAATGCTTTGTTAAATATGGAGAAAGTATGTCAAGGAGGAAACAAACAATTCAGCTAAGTGACAAAACAACCTCTCAGAGATTGAGTAGTGTCTGGGCCATTTAGTTTTTGATAGCATCCAATGTATTAAAGAAACAAGTGTTAAAAACAATAATTTTTAAGTAATAAAATTTCAAAAACTAACTGTTTCTTTTTCTTAAATTAATATTACAGATTATTTATTTCATTGATCTTTTTTAATAAATGTTTTTGAGATTTAGACAAAAATAGTCCCACTAGCGTCCTGTGATGATAAACTTGGGATAAAATTTATGACATCATAAACTAAATGCACATTTTTAAATGATAATTTTGACATTATATATTTCTGGAAAAGTTTTTAAAAGAATTGAAAACATTATTTTTGTTTTCTTACGTTTGGATAGACACAAAATATAAGCTTTGATCCAAATAAAGCATTATCTATGCTCAATAATAACAATAATAATCATAAAAGTAAATCCTTGTTGGAAGTAAATAAGAACCACCATCTCTGATTAGAAGAATAAAATTAACATATATACCTATTGAGAAAATTTAAGCGCTAAATGGTGGTGTCTGTCTGATGGTATGTATGTCACGGATTTGTAGATTTTAATCGAAATAAGACTTCCTTGAATTTTGCAGAATACAGAGCAATTTTTTAGACTAAACATTTTGCATCACCACTTAAACTAGAATTTAATTTCTTTGAATATTTGCAGAGGGAGCAGCTACAAGATCAAGAAGACAACATCGCCAGATTGGAAAAGGAATTAGAAGAGCATTTGTCGCGCGCACCCGATCGCGGTGCCAAATCCAGACACGTGCACGAGTTTGCCGAGAAGGAAGCTTACCTGCAATATGAGGTGATATAGGTTGACGAATTTTTTGTAAATTCCCGGGTTTTAACGACATTTCCTAAGGTTTTTTTTTTTTGCTTTCGTTGCAGTTGAAAAGGTACAGGACCTACGCCTTCTTGCAGCGATCGAAATTGGCGCAGTATCCGGAGTTGGAACCTCCCCTGGTGGAGACGTCCATAGGAGAAGTAGACGAACCAGTGGAGAAGAACGAGCGAACTCTGCCTAATAGCTACGACCATCCGCCCTCGATCCTCCCCGATTTGACCCACGAGGTCAAGAGGAGTCTGTCGGACCGATTCAGCTACCGGGCGGCAATTTACAAGAACAGTACCGGCGAGGGTTGCGTGTAGCGCACGTCGCCTCCGTCGCGCGATTCCGCGCGCGGTCGTGGGCGGTTTAATAAATTACACTATGCTCATCTAGTTATAAAAACAAAAACAGAAAACTGAACTCCGGCGAATGTTTTTCGCCGTTTCGTGCGGCCCCAGCCGATCGTAAAGTGCCAATAAGTAGAAATATAAAATTTCCACGCCACCTGTTTGGACGTTCCGTTTCGGTTTCCCGCGCCATGTTTATCAGGCTGGCGATAGGGAGAGCGCCACGCAACAATGTTGTGGCGAAAGGATTTCTGTGCAAAATTTACTAAACATATCTGGACGTATGCGGGAGTCGAGGTCGGCCCGATGGCTGGTCGAATTTTTTTTGTAAAAAGTAGTTTAGCGCGTTCCATTTTATACTCGGAAATAAAACGGAGCGTCATGTTTTTTTGCTCCGTGCGCGCGGCCGTTTCGGCCCCTTTCACCGGGGAAGATTCTCCGTTCTGTGCGAGACTTTACGCAGTTTCTGCAGCTATTGAAGCGGCGTCCGAAAGCGTTATATCGACGTATTTATAAAACAAACACAAAAAAAAACACGGCGGAATTTTTTTTAAGTTCAACGTCGCGCCATCGCCTCGCGATCGTCTTCTCGTTTTCTATTATTTGTTGTACTTATGCAATGTTACTCCGTACCGATCGAAACGACAGCGTCGGTCGGGACTGATGCAATATCGGGGTGCGCGTATGCAACAGAAGTAAATACAAAATTTGGCCACCCGGAAAAGTGTTAAAACCGGGTTTAATTCGCGACGTCGCTCCCTCTCCGCAACTACTTTTCTTAAACCGATTTTACTCTCGAAATGTGGGGAGAAATGCGCGTTTTCCCCTCACCCACCACTCGGTTCTTCCTTTCAATTTCTTTTCTATTTATTTATGTTATTTTTTTAAATATATATATATATATATATTCAGCCACACAAAACGTCGACTCGAACATAGTGTGACGTCTGTTCAATTCGAATTGGGTTGGCGGCATTGGGCCGCATTTCTTAGTGTACATAAAAAGTGCCAATACATAAAAATATAAAAATGAATTTATTTTACAGAATGTATCATACATAAAAACGGAGAAAATTTATATTAAAAATCTGCCAATATGCCGTCATGGACGAAAATTATTAAACAGATTTAGATTACTGTATGTTTATATACCATAGTATGAACGTATACATAAAATATAAACATATATAGAGTAGCGTCTGGGCCATTTAGTTTTTGATAGCATCCAATGTATTAAAGAAACAAGTGTTAAAAACAATAATTTTTAAGTAATAAAATTTCAAAAACTAACTGTTTCTTTTTCTTAAATTAATATTACAGATTATTTATTTCATTGATCTTTTTTAATAAATGTTTTTGAGATTTAGACAAAAATAGTCCCACTAGCGTCCTGTGATGATAAACTTGGGATAAAATTTATGACATCATAAACTAAATGCACATTTTTAAATGATAATTTTGACATTATATATTTCTGGAAAAGTTTTTAAAAGAATTGAAAACATTATTTTTGTTTTCTTACGTTTGGATAGACACAAAATATAAGCTTTGATCCAAATAAAGCATTATCTATGCTCAATAATAACAATAATAATCATAAAAGTAAATCCTTGTTGGAAGTAAATAAGAACCACCATCTCTGATTAGAAGAATAAAATTAACATATATACCTATTGAGAAAATTTAAGCGCTAAATGGTGGTGTCTGTCTGATGGTATGTATGTCACGGATTTGTAGATTTTAATCGAAATAAGACTTCCTTGAATTTTGCAGAATACAATTTTTTAGACTAAACATTTTGCATCACCACTTAAACTAGAATTTAATTTCTTTGAATATTTGCAGAGGGAGCAGCTACAAGATCAAGAAGACAACATCGCCAGATTGGAAAAGGAATTAGAAGAGCATTTGTCGCGCGCACCCGATCGCGGTGCCAAATCCAGACACGTGCACGAGTTTGCCGAGAAGGAAGCTTACCTGCAATATGAGGTGATATAGGTTGACGAATTTTTTGTAAATTCCCGGGTTTTAACGACATTTCCTAAGGTTTTTTTTTTTTGCTTTCGTTGCAGTNTGATCTAAAAGCTAATTCGTGAACTCGGTATCTTATGTGACTTGAAATCATTGAGATAACGTAATGGTTAGATGGGATATGGTAGTGCAACAGATAACAACTGCCAACGGAGTTCCTCTCGGGAGGATTTTGAGAAACTAGATGTTAGAAATGAAAAGAAAAAACCCGGGAAATTACACGTGGCCTCAGTTGATCGGGCGTGAACCCACAACCAATGTTGAGTAGTTTTATCCGCTCGGGCACTGATGAGTCTCTAACGAAATGAAAATATCGATTCAATAACGTTATAAGAAAACCAATCGCTATTCTTATACGTTGAAAATTGGATTTTTCTTTATTATAAGCTCTTAATACTTGGGATGATGACGCAATGTTCAGGCCTTATACTCCCGTTTTCAGTTATAAATGATATTTCGGTAAAGTGTTGTGTTATTTAAGTTCGTTTCATTGATAAAATTCTCAGTCATTTATTATGATGACAAATGAGATCTTCGCTAGAACCGACGGTAGAGCGATAGCTTATGAGATAATTGAAATTAGCACTAAACGTTTTTCAGAGATGGCGTTTGCAAATTATCAATCGCTTATTGAAGAACGAAGAGTTAAGATTTGATTTCTGAATATTGGGGAAAGTCATGAAAATGGACCAAAGTTTGTCATATTGCACTGATTATTTGTGAATTAAAGCATACCAAAACTACAATTCCCCCTTATCTTTTTTTTTTTTTTTTAATTTCGGCTTCATGGAAGGAGATTTGTGAGATTCGTGTTCGTTATGAAACGCTTTTCTTTGCCTTTTTGAGAGAATCGAAAGTGAAATGGCACTGTGACAAATCGGGACTGCGTGGCAGATGGCTAAGCCCTCCGTTTAAGCTTCTTGGGTGTCGAGCTGGATTTTGCGACATTAAGTCGCACATTGTCGCGGAGAAAAATCTCATTTATCAAAAGATATGCATTTCAATCTATATTCAGAAGAGCATTTCTGGATCGTACAGCCACAACTGATGGTGGTGTTATCATCTCGATCCAGAAACCAAGCATGAAATGGAAGCTCGTGTCTTTCCACTGCCAAAGAAGTGCGACCGACAGCCAGCATGATGCCAACTTTTTTTTTTTTTTTAATAAAAAGAATACCTTTGCACAATATATCACCACTTATATAAATCCATACATAGAAACAAGGCGTTGTCAGTATGTAAGTGTAATATGTATTCGCGGCCAGATAGTCGAGAGAGTAAAAGCATCTGCGTGTGTTGGTTGTGTGGATCCGGGATCGAATTCCGGCAGTAAACCCGGGAATTTTGTGTATTGTCCGTCCTAGATATGTCCCGTTTCTCATCACCCGGTCGTCCCATTGTGGGCCTGGCTTAACCCGTAATGGGTTTGCTAAAGAGGCTCAATTGGTGCCTATAAGACGGAAAGAGTTTTAAAATATATTCACAATTAGTTACAATTCGGATCCAATAAACGAAAATTTGAACTACTGAGAATACTCTTATTACTCAACAGTAACGTGTTATCCTATAAGCATAAAGGGCAGAAACCATGGACCCTAAACCAATCTTTTATAAGGAAATATTCTCCGAAAACTCCCCTTTTGAAGAGTCAACACTGTACTGTACATGGGGCCCCTAATTTTTTTTTTTCAAATTTGCCTAGGTCTTATGAAGCTATAAGGCGCTACTATAACTAATAAAGATAATACGTAACATTTATTTATAAGAAAAGATCACACAGCGAAATATTGTATGGTTACGTCTCTCGAGTGCAGGTGTCGCCACTGATACAAGTGCCTCAATTTAATATAACGGTAAACATCTGGTGTTAAACTTATATGTAATAAAAAATAAATAAAATAAAACATGGCCGTGCTTGTATCCGGATCCGAATAAACGAGTTTATAATATAAAATGCACAATTTCAAATAAAACTGCCAATTCCTTATATAAAGAATGGATTAATGTCAGCTGCTCTACATCCTCTCTTACACTCGTCTCTCGTGCTCTTATGCTAATTTGTCGCATTTAAAAGCAAAAATATTTAGTGCATGTTTAAATTTTATTTATTCAATTTTTTTTATGACACAAGCCGACGAAAAATTCAATTTTTTTTTTGTATTTTTTCTTCATTCGATTTCTTAGAAAAGCAATTTTCTTGTCAATTATAAATATCCGTGGAAAACGAAAGAGAAAGACATGTTTACTAGCAAAGAAATTATGCAAATGGGAATAAGATTACATTTACCGGAACAACCCCTTGATTATTATGAAGTTATCCGTATTTTCTTCAATCTTTATTTCTTCTTCACCATATAAACTACATAAATTGAATATAGGTTGATGAATTTCTGCATAGAATTTAGTTTTAGACAGGGTCGGGTTTAGATTTTTTGCGGTTCTAAGGTATAAAACACGAGGCTTTTCCCTCCGTCAAATAATGATCTTATGGGGGAAAATGGGGTTTATTAAAAGTGATGCTAAATCGCTTGGAGTGACGAATGCATTTCTTCATTATACAATACGATGAATTCTGTCGATCACGTTCGAATTTACATACCAATTCACGTATCAATTCTCATGAATTACGGAAGTAATTCACGATTCCCTTTATGCTGAATCAGTTAATTGAATTCGGCTAACGACATTCACCTATTATTTCCATAAAAGTGAATTTAGTAGATGATGACAAGAAACTATTTAAATACGTTTTATAATAAATTTAATGTCTGATAAAGCATAGATTATATTATTATTATTATTTAATATTTTAACAGAAATACTTATGGATTTTCTTCCATTTCTAACATATATAAAAAATTAAGTTTCCAAAAGTTAGTTAACTGAGATATAGTTTTAAAAATCCATCTCGGTTAATTGATTTTTGATTCATTCTAATATTGATATATGCTAACATAGCATAAAAGAGGTCTTTCCCTTTCAGTAAATAATAAAAAGGGTCTCATCCTTTCAGATCTTAAGCTGTTGTTTGACTTGTATGTACTGTAAATAAAATTAAACTGCCACAAGAATGTTTTTACTTGGCATTACAATATACCAGTCGACCCCCCTATAACACTTTTGATAATTCCGTTTTATATGAATTCCATGTTGTACGAGTCACTTAGATTTTATAAATACATGAGCCGTTCACAGCCCGGCACACGTATTTGTAAAATCTAAGCGACTCGTACAACATGGAATTCATATAAAACGGAATTATCAACAGTGTTATAAGGGGTCGACTATACATTATCTCTTAAAGAATATAAAAATGTATTGTTTGCCAATTATATTTTATGCAATCCGAGCCGGATTTTGACATAAAATATAAGAGGTCTTTCTCAAAACAAACGTTTCTTTAATAAATTTCTGTATAAACGTTGACAAGAAAATAAAACGAACGTTGTGTATTAATTAAAAGTTCTGTTAAGTGACGTCATTAACGGTCGTTAAGTTATTTCTAACTTAGACGTAAAAGAAAAAGATAATCGATTACACTTGTCGTTAAATTAACGGGCATTTTTTTTAATGCGAAACAATAAAAAATGAATTTTTCGGTTTATAAAATCCATTAAAACAATTTCTAATTACATAAAAATATACATTAATAAATGTTGACAATATGAAATTGTGTTAGAGAGTAGCTTTGTTTGACGGAATGTACGCATAAAATAATACGTAAATGAGATAAAAGTGAATTTACAACTGTAAATTTTCTATTGTTCTGTGTTAAAGAATATATAGAATAGGAGATAAGAGGATAAAATACAATATTAGTCTGGCTTCTGGTCGTAAAAGTGAGATTATGCGTTACTGGTCAATCAAAATTATATTTTTGACTTTTCTGGCTCAAAACAAAAAGGTAAGCATTTTCTCAGTGTCTAACAAACATTTCAAGACTTAAAATTCTAAATAAATTTTTAACAGTCGCAATCTTTAAGCCAACATTCCTCTCGTCTAGAAGAGAATTTGGGTTTGTATCATTTTCGAACTTGTGTGGATAAAAAAAAAAAATTAAAAAAAAAATAATAATTTATATATTTTAGGTGTTTCAAATGTGTGTTTGATGGAGGGTGATGTATTATGCGACCCTCTTCGAGTAAGTTATTTATTTATTTTATTTTATTTTATTTTTATATTTTAAAAATATTATTTTGTTCTAGCCTATGTGGTTAGTCGCTCCTCTTGATAAATATAGAATGTGGACTAATAGGATCGTTCCTTACACATTCGCTCCTCATTACAGTAAAGTTTATTCATTCTTATATTAAAATTACAAATAATTTTCTTTAAAAATAAAAAAAAAATTATATGTAAAGGTGATGAGGACAAAAATATCATCCTGGAAGCCATGATGAGAATTGAAGAAATGTCGTGCTTGACGTTTAAAGAACGAGAAGACGAAGTTGATTACATCGATATCCAAGATGGCAGAGGGTGGATTGTGCAACATTCCTATTATATATTGTTACTTTTTAAATTATAAAAAAAAATAATTACGTTTTAAATTTTGCAGTTGTTTTTCTTTTGTGGGAAGAATAGGAGGACGACAAATTTTATCATTACATCCTCTATGTCTGGCGGATGGAACCGGAATTGCTATTCACGAATTATTGCACGCTCTAGGTTATTGGCACGAACAAAATCGCTATGACAGAGATGATTACGTTAAAATTCACGAAGATAACATTATACCTAGTGGGTTATACTTTTGTTGTATTTGCTTTACATAATCTTCAATCAGTTAATAAGTCTTCAGATCGAAAAAAATAATAATGAATACAGAAAAGTTGGAACGTCTCCATCTAATTTGCATATTTTTCTGTTTAGAATATTTCATCAATTTTAAGAAAAAAGAGAAAGACATATCAGATCTGCAGAATTTGGAATATGATTACGCATCCATACTTCATTATGGACCTAAAATGTTTGCCATAGATGATACAGAAAACACTATCACTCCGTTGAATCCCGAATACGAAGAGGTTATAGGTCAACGAAAAGGACTAAGTCCATTAGATATACTCAGAATAAATAGACGTTATAAATGCGGTGAGATACTTTACTAGTTGAACCGGAAATAAATTCGTTCGATCGATTCTCGTTTCTAAAAATCCTTTTCGGTCATAGCGCTGTTGGATTAAAGATGGAGGGAATGATGGTATAGTCCTAAAAATGTATTACGATCGATAAAAAGTTGGAAAAACCCGTGACCGAATATCTATTTTTAGAAAGATGGAGAATCCTAAGCTAAAAGTATGGTTTAGTTTACTTTCTAATAGTGAAATATTTATATAGAAATAGAGAGTTGTCCACCTCCTGAAGTCGTCCATGATGGATTTGTCATCGGGGAGGACTATTCAGTCGGTAAGACTGTGCAGTTCGGTTGTGACGAAGGTTTCTTCTTAGTCGGATCTTGGTACAGCTTCTGTAGATTCGATGGAATTTGGTCCGGAATGCATCCGGAATGTTATCGTGAGTGGAAATTCTACAACGTTCGACGCTCTTTTCCTCCGTTAATTGCTTTTCTTCCGCCCCACAGACTTATATGATGGTCACTCTTGTAACTTCAGTGAAGATATTTGCGGTTGGGCGAATCACCAAGGAAATGACATCGAGTGGAGGAGAAACAGCGGCCCCACTTCCTCCCCCGATACTGGTCCTATGGTCGATCATAGCAGCGAAACAACGACAGGTAACTTTCTCTTCCATCATCTTTTGTTTCTTTTTAAACTGACTTCTAAAATTACACAAACTAATGGAATCTTCAGACTTGTTCCATAAGTTGTTATTGTAGCCTAATTAGTGTGTGGGTTCAGTACTGTATATAATAAATTCGTGCTGTAAGAAATGAGTTTTATTAAAAAGTAATTTTTGTACGAGTCACTTAGATTTTACAAATACGTGAGCCGTTCACAGCCCGGCACACGTATTTGTAAAATCTAAGTGACTCGTACAACGTGGAATTCATATAAAACGGAAAAATCAACAGTGTTATAGGGAGGTCGACTGTAATTCATTATTCGTATCGACCGTAGTTTTGAATTGATTACATATATTACTACTCACGTAATAAACTCATAAAAGTTTTACTGTCTTCTTTTATAACTTATCGAAATTCATATCCATGATATGCACCCTTTCAGCTGTAATAACTTTGGAAATGTTTGAAGTGTTGCCAGCTTCATTAATAGTATTATTTTGTACACAGGTCATTATATATTTGTGGATTCTTCTGAGTTTCCTACTGAAGGGAAGAGAGCCAGAATTGTTACACCAACTTTTCACCCTTCCGGCCAGATGGTGTGCTTGACAGCTTACTACTATATGTGGGGCCCTGATATGGGCCAGTTGTCAGTTTATGCCAGATTCTACAACCGATTCGATGTCCAAATATGGAGTATCGGTGGGAACCAAGGACCGGAATGGATCCTTTTAAAGTTAGCTTTCCCTTCAGAAGGATTACCAATTCAGGTAAGTCACTTCGATGCCATTTTCAGATTTTGGAGATTTCAGGATGGTATGGTTACAGATTGTTTTCGAAGTCATTCTGGGTTGGACGGCCAGCAGCGATATAGCTTTAGATGATGTCATATTTGAGGACTGTCCTGAGGAATTTGAACACGAAAGGATCGAAATAGAAACACCTCTTCCTCCTCCTCCCACTATTGGTATGTTGACAAATGTACCAATTGCTTAGAACTAGGTTAAGCTACAGATTGCATTTGTTTGGCAGTTCCCGAATTTGCCATCTTCTGGTGCAATTTCGAAGATTATTTGTGTGGCGAGAATGATGAAATTAACGGTGATTTCTATTGGCAAAGAGATTATGGTGACACTCCCAGTTATGCCACAGGTCCGAGTGTAGACCATACTTTTGGAACCGAAGAGGGTGAGTTACGATTTACAACTTTAAAAATGCCATTTTAAAAAAGAATTCTTCGAATTTGATGCAAAATCATATGACAAATGATGGCAGAAATTTTCAATTAATTGAAAATTTCTGCCATAATTGTGTTAAATCGAATTGTATGCCCCGAGGATTGTGAAGTAGATTGTGAAGTGCACATACGTGACACATGGCATTTTATTTAGCTCGATGCCGACTCCTGGACATACAATTCAATCTTAAAATTACGTAAATAATGTAAGCTACATAATATTGTAGGTTATATAATCCTACAGGATTTACAGGATAAATCTTATTTAAAATTAACAATGATGTAAATCCTGCGAATTGTCAACGAGTTTTTAGTATGGGTCTTACACGTTATGTCGTAATATTAATGTAAAATGTGTCACTTATACGCTTACTCGAAATGTATATCCTGTGAATCCTACAAATATTGATAAGTATGCATTATCTGTTACGTGGATATACGAGTATAAACTGTGGATATTCTTAGAAACAAATTAATAGCTAGAGTGTGTAGCGAAAGATTGCAAACACTAAGAATAGAGTAAGCTACCTGGATGCGCGGTCAATACCTAGAGGTGACCTTGATTTGTCCCTAGAAGACGCTCGTTTCCCCCGAATCTTTGACTTTCTCGCTCCGTAAACCATGGAAAGTTTACGAGGCGTTTCTAGAAAGGCTCGTTTTCTATTAGAAAACGAGCCTTTCTGGAAGCACAACGATGCTTCCGAGAGTTCTGTTAAATGCGGAGGAGAGATTTGGTTTCGTCAGATTACGAAACACACGATCGATAAACTTTTGTAGGGAATCATTTCAGTCTATATATATACGGTGCTTGACAAGCAAACTCTCGACTCGTACGATAAACCTCTTGATGCCATTGTGTTGGCTCTCATAAAGTGTTGTCTTATATTTCGTAGGTATTTACTTGTATATAGAAACGTCTTTTCCCAGAATGGAAGGTGAAAGAGCCCGTTTTATGCTACCCAGGGTGGAAAATACTGGCAGTATGTGCTTGACTTTCTACTACCACATGTACGGCGTGGATGTAACTACCTTGAAGGTTCTAGCGATTGTTGAGGAACAAGAGCACTTCCTATGGAGCAAACAGGGAAATTTGGGGGATCTCTGGAGATCTGCAAGGGTAGAACTACTCTTGGAGGGTTCTAGCTATCGGGTATGATCTTTAGCACCTTCTTTTCTATGTCCTGATCCATATTAATTGAAGAAATTTACTTTTTTAATAGATAATCTTTGAAGGGAAACGTGGAGCCGGTCCGCGTGGAGACGTGGCTATCGACGATGTGGCCGTATTAAACCATTCCTGTACAGAATAATCGATAAAACAACAACTCTATAACACTTTATTCGATAAATAAATTGTACAGATACACACGACGAGACGACAGATCTATTTCGTGAATGGTTCAAACCTCTAATTTGACCAAGTCACCCTCCCATTCCGTCTCTTATCTAACGATTCTTTTTATTAGTTGGCCCCGTACTGACGTTACATTTCGATAGTCGCGGATGGGGGCGTGTAGAAGGCACACATTCCATTTACTATAACGATGGTAGAGAAAAGAATAAACCGGGTATGAAACGATTCTTTCGCAACGTCAGATAAAACCCCACTCGACATTTGGACTCGAGTCACCAGACATCAAAATAGATCGATATAACACGAATGCCACCCGAAGGGAACAGCCGAAGTCGCCATTTTGGTAAAATATAATTAAATTTTCTTTATTGTATCGGGGATGATAGTGCAAATGGAAGCCCCGTTATTATATTTTCTTTTTTTCCTTTCGTGTGACGTAACGAAAGAAGGCGACTTTCATACTCTCTCGCTGACCAACTCGGCAGCTGGGGAAATGCGAGAACCGGGCGAGTCCGTGCTTTCGAATTTCATGTACATGGACTTGACCACGGGACTCTGGGCGCTGTTGGACTGACTGAAGAAGCTTCCATATTTTGGCTTCAAGTGACGATTGTTAATCTCCATGTGGACGATTCTCATTACTTCTATCTGAGCCGCTAACTTCTGGATCTCCTCCTGAAATGAGAGAAAGATTTAGTGTTCTAGTTTCTTCCCCCCTCAGAATTTGACTCTTAACTTACCTTCAATTCTTCGTTCTCTTGGTAGAGATCGGGAGTTTCTTCGTGAACTAATCCCACCCCGTTGAGAGAAAACGAAGCAGTGACGCCCCTTGCCCGTGCCCGATTGTCCCAAGTATCGCCTTCTCCTTTGATCACTCTATAAAACTGTCACGTAACAGAAAAAAATAAATGAGGGTGGGGGAATTAAAGGAAATTCATAAAACTGGACATAAAAATTTACTAGAAATGTTCAAAATCGATAAAAATTCATTAAGTTTGTATCAGTTATCAGAGCAAGATGATCCATTATATATTGTATGAGATTCTAAGAAGATCCACTAAATTGACACTAGAAATGTATGGTTTCTACTATTTACCCGAAAACTACAAAAGGTATCTGCGTTAAATTAACTCCAATAAAAATTCAGATTTATTCATTGCTATTCTAAGTGGCCATTAAGACCAGTAAAGTCATTAAATGGACCTCTAATGGTTCTAAAGTAATCAAAATAAAGTAGAAGAACGTAAATTCGGTGCTTCTTTGGAATCATCACGCGATACCTAATTGAGATGATATACATTTTTTTTTAACTGAGATTAATATAAGATTAAAACTACAACATTAATTCTAGAAATGTTTGATTTTACGTTATTATATAATTTGTTAATGCAATAATTAAAGGTAATTATGACTAAAGAATGAGGAATTTCGCCATAAAATTCAGAAATGAATGAAAAATTTTACATACTTTAGGCCCGAAGATAAGAATGATTGTAACTGTTGTACTAAGCTGAGTGCGTACGAAACCAAACAAGTACTTTATGTCGGGTGCTGCGTGTGGTAGGATGACGACGCTACAAAGCAAAATTAATTGTGCGAATAGAATGATTAGAAGTTATTAATTAACGATTATTCTCAAACGTAGAATTAATGTACTCACTGGATCATCACCATGATGATATTAATGATAGTGATGTTATAAATGGCCCAACTTATGTGTTTCGCTTCATTGAAAAAGGATTCTGCATGTCGGACGTTGTAACATACCCGAATTCCCCAGAGAAGGAAGAGGAATTCGCCTAAGAGAAAGAGAAATTAACTCGGGGTGGGCAACGAGGAATTTTTTTAATTGATGAGAAAATACTCACCTATGGCCAAACTGTGGTCCCACCAATTGAAGTCACATTGTTTAAACTTCAGTCCCTCCCAGTCTACGATATAGACCGCTTCCGGGGGAGAAGAGATGGTCCATGTGCCTAGATAGATTGCCATCACCAAGAGAATAGGGAACAGCCATTGCAGCAACTGTTTGTCGGTCAATTTAAGTTTGTGAGCCGATTTAACTCGGTAAGTTAACGACACCCTGGAGGAAAATGGAGTTTAAATGGATGCCGAAACGACAAAATTTTGCTCATTTACAGACTGATGTTGACGTTACCTCCATGTCTTAAGTAACAGAGCGCTGTACGTGATACAGAAACCCATGTTCCTGGTCCATTTTGTGGCAATGCAACTGTATACGTCCAGAACGGGAAATATGGCGGCCATCTGAAGAAAATGGAAAGAGTTATTTTTATCAACGCGATAGAACTGAGAGATGGAAAAAATGACTGACCTCACTATACATGATCGCGCAACCTAACAAAGTGATGCAGAGAAATATAGGGCTGGCTACCTTGATGACCTTTAACTTACGATATCGGTAGATATAGCATGCTAGAACAATGGTCAGCAGCACGCAGATCATTGAGATAGTCAGTAGAGAAATTCTATAAAAAGAAATCGTTAGTTCAAAGACGTGACAAAAAATGTTATAAAGGATAACAATTAATTACCGGAAGGCCCAATTATAATGTGACAGACAGGGAGAGTCATCCACGCAGGTAACGCATCCCGCCTGGCAGGGTTTGCAGACGTATAACATGTCATAACTTGGGCTGTAAAATGAATCGATTAATTTTAGTTTGTCGGAAATCGGCGTTTTGTACACACGAAAACACTCACCTGTTGATTGTGCCCTTCTCTTTCCACGCGGATTCTACTAACGTGCCGTTAAATACGGATTTCTTAGTTGCAGAATAGTAACCGTCTCGACATTTACACTTATACGCTCCTCTGACCCATCCTTGACCAGGTGTGAACATACACTGAAAAGAGAGAGAAAGAATTTACCTACAGTAAAAGAAGACGATCGATGTGCCATACCACTCACCTGGCTTGTATCGTTATCGCATTTATGGCTCCCTAAAAATATGTCTATCTCTCCTAGACGATTATGTCCGTTGTCTTCGTTCCACCTTCTGTCGCACTGATTGACATCCATATTTGTGACATCCACATCGACACTGACGACACCCACCACGCTGTAATCGGAAATTCCGTTCAGACCGGAGGGGTCGACTAGTCCAAGAAGAGAAAAATTGTACCTCTCGGCCACTTGATGACTGGCCCTTCTCCACTTGCTGCGGGAAATAGTGACGAATGCAGTGTAGGAAAGCAGCCACTTCTTCACGTCGCAGGTGAAGTAAGTGGATGTCCATTTGCCATGCTGCACTCTGTGCCCCTTGACTTTGCCATGAGGAGGCACCGAGTTTTTGTCTAACCACGGTTCTTCTTTGAAGGATCTGTCGTACAACTGCGAAGACACTACTCTACGGTGGCTACTGCCAGAAGCACGGTTGGCCGTTACGTAGTAGTGTGGTTTCCACAGGCTGCCATTTCCCACCCACATGATCCTGGCGGCGTACAGGAACTTATCTGATAAGACGGTTTCTTCAGCAAAGGCCTTCAACATCTCTGTAAGAAAATCAAAATTAATTGCATTGACCCCATAAGTTTACCATTAATTGTTATTTTATATTATATCATTACTTATTACGATGTAAACGAGATTCGAAGACAGACCCTTCTGATGATAACGCGTTGTAAACTGCATTATTGCTTTATCGGATATTCTAGTATTTTCTATAATTTAGTGAACGAAATAGTTAAAAATACAGCAGTTACTAGCAAATATGCGTTACTAAATTATTGGTAATAGGTGATGATTCTTGCTCTATATCTATGGGCAAGTATCATCACGTGATGTATTGTTACGTAGATTTATTTTAACTATTGATTGCTGGAGTACTACAGTAGAGCGACGATTTTCCGAAAGTCAATCATCCGAAAGAATTCCAGTCGGCAAATTTAAATTTTTGCCAGTGCTGTGGCGCTTCAATCTTTGTCTATGTCTTGGGCTACTCAAATATTTTACGTTTTTGATACTAAATTAACATCTGAAGTATAATTTTTTATTGTTTTTATATTTTTCAATATATTT